ACAGAGAAAAAATTAGAAATGGAAATATTATATGATATATTACCCTTTGTTCAAACAAGAAGAGTTTCTCTTAATTCAAATGAAAACTTTTGGAACTTTTTTCCCCACTATATATTATGAATTATAGAAATAAAATATTTAATAAAATTCAAACAAATTTTAAAGTTCTCATATTTAAAAAAAATAACTGTACATCATTCATTAGTTTTTCTCTTGAAAAAAAAAACTTTTTATTATTAATCATATCGCCGATATATCATTATCTTTAAAAGGATTTAAAAAAAAAACAACATTTTTTCCTCTTCGGATTATGACATCTCCCGATCGCCATAATTTGTGTGACCTAAAAACGATGGCTGCATCATTATTATGATCATTTACACATTTCCACGAAAGTAAACATCGAAAGCAGGACTGGTGTTTTCTGAGAGGAATTGGTCAATATTAGCGCCATTGCAGGTAAAGCAAGATGAGTTATGCCAGTGATAGCAAGTAAGAAGTCAAAAAAACGCAAACTAGCCTACCACTGCCATTCTCTTTTGGGAAGTTAACATGAAGCGAAGCTATGGCAGTGTTTATTCTCTGTAAAAAGCAATTTGTGCCAATTGTTCATAAAAATGTAATCATTTTCTGACCCAAATTCTGTTGTATTCATCACCAGCATATAAATTGCGCTCACTTTGAGTTTAGGTTATTCTTAAACATGTTAAAGTGAGTGAATTTTTTCTAAATTTTCTTTTCCGGTATCTATATCGCCGCTCTGCTCAATAACGAAAGATAACGAGAAATATGGAGGGGGATCAGAACCTCAATTCTCTGGAAAAAAAATTTCTCTCTATTTTTATCTCAGCTGAGTTGAAGGCTCAAGTGAGCTTTTCTGATCACATTTTGTCCGTCGTCCGTCCGTCTGTCTGTCTGTCTAGCTGTCTGTCTGTCTGTCCGTCTGTAAACTTTTCACATTTTCGACTTCTTCTCAAGAACCACTGGGCCAATTATGACCAAATTTGGTACAAAGCATCCTTGGGTGAAGGGTAATTTAAATTGTAAAAATGAAGGGCCAAGTCCCCTCACAAGGGGAGATAATCAAGAAAAGACAAAAATAGGGTGGGGTCATTAAAAAATCTTCTTCTCAAGAACCACTGGGCCGATAAGGCTGAAACTTATGTGAAAGGATCCTAGGGTAGTGTAGATATTTAATTGTTCTAATCATGACCCCCAGAACAACTGGGCCAGAAAAGCTGAAACTGATGTGGAAGCACCCTTGGGTAGTGTAGATTCTAAATTGTTCAAATCATGACCCCAGGGGGTAGGGCGGGGCTACAATATGTATTACAAGGGGGAAATCTGGTAAAGAACAATATGACAAAAGATTTTCAGGTGAGCGATGTGGCCCACGGGCCTCTTGTTATTTTTTCTACCTTTTCCGAAGAGAATAATTTATTAAGTTTAAAATTACTTCTTGTTTTATTTTTTTATTTCCAATTTTATATTGATAATGTTAATTTTTATTTATCCTTTCAATTCTAGCTTCTTGTGAAAAATATATATTGTTAATTTTTTTTAAATTTAATTTTAATTTAATTTGGTTTTAAAATGCTCACCAAAGAATTAAAAATTAATCACAATTACTTTTACAGAGTGTACCACTATTCAATTTTAAATTAAAACCTTAAGTTCAGTGTCATCCTAGGTTAGGATTAAAAAATGCTAAAATTAAATCCTCGCTAAAAATTCTGATCATTAGGTATTTATCTAGCCAAAATTAATTATATTGATTAAGATAAAAACCTTGGTAATTCTACCAAACATTGCCAGTGAAGTTGACTGATTTCATGAATTTATTGATTCAAGAATGTTTTTAAGTTTTGTGTGAGTTATTGGTGTGTAAATCACGCAGATTGTCACGTATAGGCATATTTCACGAAGAGCGCTGGCGCTTCATGAAAATTGTGCCAGTAAGCGGATTGCTTATTTTTTCCTGCGACGTTAATTTCCGTATTTACAAATTAAGAAAACATTTTTTTGTTTATTTTTTCTTATTAAAACAACTGAAAAAGATTCTCCACCGAAACAAAAATGGGCGCCGAACCTTCCACATTGAAATTTGTTGAAGTTACGATTAAAAAATATTTTAATGACAATATCAATTTTAATATATCTGATCAATGTGTGCTATGAGCGGATCCCTTTAATAATTTTTCAGGTAAAAACATCAGGAAGAAATCAAACAAATCAAAGTTAGTACACATGTACATGTATATTTTATCACTGTGCCCCTTCAACAGTATTTCAGCACTTTTTTTGGCCTTTCAAGAAAGGAAAAGGTACGATGAGGGCCAAATCTGGCCCCCTTATTTGATGTAAAAATTATAACACTGGTAAAATTATGATAGTTTGTAGTTAAGAAGTTAAAATGAAGCTTACTTTAATATAAGCACTAATTTAAATTCAAAGCTTACATGAAAGCCAGTTTAGAGTGCAGATGTAGGTCATTTTTCAGAATTTCCTAAATTCTATTGGAATTTCATCATATTTGAGAAACTTTTCTCTTCAGAAAACATAGAGCACTAGCTTGCCTATCTGAGTGAGATTTTTACACAGAAACTGCAACTGATTTTAGTGTATGAAATATATAAATTTAGTAAATAGGCAAGCGTTTGCTCTATGTTTTCCGAACCAATATGTGCTGAAAAATTGACGAAAATTTGTATGAGAAATTTCGAAAACTGACCTATTTCCTGTCCTCACTGTGACCTGTATATTCTTAATCTTGGAGCCAATACTCATTTTGTGGCAGAGGTGACAACAGGTTTTTATGGATAAAGTGTTGGAGCATCATGATCATTCTGAAAGACACCCAAAATCGGGAGCCAAATACTGGTCTTACCCTATCTTGGCTTTTTTGTTTGGTGCACTGTAGCAAACTCTAATGATAAAATGCCGCTTAATGATACAAATATCATGAAGCGTAGCAATTGCAATGCTGAAGCCATGAATTATTGCATTTATTTTTAAAATAGTTGACATTCTCAACGGCTAATGCTCAATCGCCGCGTAATGATAAAATTATTAGCATATCAGGAATTAAGGTAAAAATTCAATTATGTTGATGTCATCTACTGAATCGTTTTGTTTTTTTGTCATTAAAAGCTTTTAATTCGAGAAAATATCTGACACCTGGTTCATTTTTTCTTATTTTGACACATGCTATTCAGACACCCATTCCAATTATTTTGTTTATAAATAATATAATTCTATATTTTGTCAAAGGAAAACTTAAACTGTTCCTTATTTGATTGTGAATTTTCAAATCAGACGTTACGTATGTTCCATTTGTACATCACATTTGTTCTGTTGTCCCCTCTTAACCTACTGACTTTAAACGGTCTGACATTAGACTTTTTATATTCCAGGACACGATTTTCCTTCTTTTTATTCCTCTTATCCTGTTAACAAATATGCTAACATTTCCTAGTAAAAGATTTTCACACCTACCTACCGACTCAATAATTTCATACTGAGTTGAGAAAAGGTAACCAAACATTCTTTTAAAGATGTTCTTAGCATCGAAAATTCATATATAATGTTTAAGTTTTTTGATTTACAAATAATTTTAATTATAGGTATAGAGGATGATGCAAGCTCAAGTTCTGTCAGCTGTTGTGTATCGAGTAACCAGGACAATAAACTATGGTCACAAATATGTTGTTGATGTTAAATATGCAGGTAACGGAGGAGTGTGTGTTTCTGTTGTGAATTCAAAGGTGACCCGAAATATTAATCCACAAGATAGTTCTATTCGTCATTTTTTCTTTGGTGAGTCCTGCTTGCCTTTCATGGATGAGTCTACTGAACGTATTATACTTTTGAATAAACAATCATTGTTTTATCGTTACATAGATGAAGATTATACTTATAGTAGGCCTTTTGAGAGAACAAGCATAATTTTTCCACAGCAAAGCAACGTTTCGAAAGAATACAGTCCAACCAGAATAGCATTGTGCAATGACAATGCAATATTGATTTGTCTTTGGAACCAACAAGTGCTCGAGCGTTCTATGGGTAAAATTATCAAGATATCTTTTGAGGGTGAAATATTTTTTGAATTAGAAACCTATAAAAATAAGCCACTGTTTACATGTCCGACTTACATAGCAGAAAACGGCAATGGAGACATCTGCGTTTCTGACGTGAACGTTGTAGTTGTCTCGGACGCCGGAGGTTTACTGAGATTTCGATACAGAGGAATATCAGATGATTCTCAGTTTGATCCCAACGGAATTTGCTGTGATTCACAGAACAACATCATTGTTGCAGATATGATGAAAAACAAAATTCACATGATTGACCAAAATGGGGAATTCCTTCACTATATTCAGTACAAAGATATGAACAAACCGCGAGCTCTCTGTATAGACGAGCATGATAACCTGTATGTCGGTGAATGGTCGTCTGAGAAAATCAAAGTACTTACACCTCAATGACTGGAGGAAAAAAATGTTGTTTAAAACTGGATTGCAGTAATAATGTATATCAATATCTCTTATTGTACATTTTTATACTTCGAAGTCTTCAGCTTTTGTGTGCATTTTTTGGTAACACTTATTGACTAAATGATAGCTTGAACATGAATTTTGCTTAAAGGATTTATATTGTGTATTTTCTAGCAATGTTTTGTCTTTCATTTTAATGACGATTCTTTCTTTTTGTACATTTATCAACATGGATCTTTGTTGTCATTTTTTTTTATATTGCCTTAAGTCAAATTTGTCAATAAGTCAATAAAAGTTAATAAGTAGTATGTTAATTTTGAGAAACTTAATATGACATTCTTTTTAACATATAAATTAGAGAATATAGAATATCTCAAAAAATGATTTATTATTATTATTCAAGATTTGAATTTTTGAATGGATGTTTTCATCGACACAGCTTTGCCTCAAACCTTCAACAATATAAAAATTTATTTGAGGTTTACCTATGCTGAAAACTCAAATGAGGTGTTGTCCTCCATCCCTCTTTCAGTCTGTTCCCAAGACTGTAAATATTTTACATCTTCTACAAATCCACTGGTAAGATTTTAGCAAAAGGTATCCTCAGGTTACAGAAATTTTTAAATGTTTAAATGAAGAACCCAGTCCCTTTCTAGAGCGAGATCATATGGAAAAGACCAAACAGAAAAATAAGAAATATATGTTAGTTTCCTGGGGTAGGGTAAATGATAACTTATTAAATCAAAACTTTTTATTTAGAAAAAAAAAGATCATAAAAGTTATAACTTTGTGGAAGGTATCTCAGCTACTATGGAGTTTTAAATGGCTTTTTAATTTTTTTTTAGCTAGCATTGAATTAAAATTGCTCAGATTTAATCCCTAATCTTTTATACATACATAAAAGTATATATAAAGAGATATTTCTTTTTTTCACATAATAGAGCACATGAAATGATGAAACTTTCATAGAAACTTTCTTACAAAGCTTAGATTGTGATTTTAAATTGTTTAAATCATGACCAACGAGATAAGAGGTGTGGGAAGAATAGGGAATCAAAGTTTATATAGAGGATATCTATATTGTGTGATTTGATATTGGCTTTATCCAACGAGTTGAAATGGTGTATATATTCGCGAGGCTTGCCGAGCGAATATACACCATTTCAACTCGTTGGATAAAGCCAATATCAAATCACACAATTATAGATGTTCTATTTATCTCATACGACTTTCCTTTTAACAAAACTTTGAGACTTCCCCTGCGAAACTATACATGAATGATTGCTAATTCAAATTGATGACGTATAACTTGATGACGTAGCACCGTTGATGTTGACATCTCTCGAAAGAAAGTAGATTTTGTTCAAAATTTAGAATTTTTGCTATCTGCGTCTTTGAAAACATTATGTGACAATTGTTGGAGCTTAACATCAAACGAACTTCTGACTGAAAGTTGTTAGTACCATGGGATCGTGAAAATGAACTCTTTGGACGATGGCAGTACAAAACGTGTTAGGCAAGGCTAGGGGCACCTACATTACTAGGTAGGCATACGTAGTATAATATAAGAAAGCATTGTTGAAGATGTCATAGGAGTCTTATAACAACAACTTAACTGGTAGGCTTTACTTTCTCCGAAACGATTTAAGGGGGGGGGGGGGAGGTAACATCTGTCTTCAAGTAGCCAATATCTACGGGTTCATTGATAAAATAAGACACTTCTTTGACCTATACTAGTCTTTTTCTTGCTTTTAACGATATTACTGTCCTTTATCATTCATTTTATAAGGGCAACAAGTTTCAGAAATCAAAGTTTCAATAAAATAAAATTTTGAAGCGAGGGATCGTGTCAAAACCGGAAGTGCTATTGATAAAGCATCTACCGGTTGATAAAGCATAAGTTTATCCAACGGCCTGTATTACCAACACGTATGAGATAAAAATGAATACACTGTTAAATCTTAATGATAGCAAAGCCATGTTTTGTTACATCTAGAAGCAACTTCAGTGTAGATTCAATTTTCTTGTTCAGAGTAGGATTGGCAACAATAGAAATCTTATCTAAAAATAAAAAAATATTGCTTTTGCTGATTAGTAAGCACGACAGTGCAACATCAGTAAATTATTTGATTTATTGTATCTCGTATAGTTGTGTGGTGATGGGCCATTGTAAGAGTTGGGAAATTCATTTATGAGTGAAGTATGTATTGATAACAATTGAGGAAATAATTCTTTAATGAACCTGCCATTTGTCGCTTCAGTTAAAGATCTTTGTGTTCTACCGAGTCGCTTGTTATGCTATAATGAATATTTACGTCAAATATTTATTGTTACTTTAATTACTGTATGCATCTAATATCTACCTTAATTCAACATTCTAAGATATCGATAGCATATGAATAGACTCCTACAAATTCATCATTTCACAAGTTCTTGGATCGATTCAATGAGTTCATCAGTAATTTACAATCTATAATTAAGTCAAAAACTAACTGACGTTTTTCATACTCATTGTTACGCTGTTATTTACTCACTGAAATTTTCTGATTACCATAAAACGACAAGAAGCATAAGGTGAATGTGGCCGATCGACGAGGAATGCTTACTTCTCTATGCCTCCTGTTTGCTCCTCTGCTGATTTTTTGGATGTTCGTTTTTGACCCCCTCCACCATTTTTTTGCTATTCAAATTGACTTTGTTCTCAAGTCCTGTTTGTTATTTTCCGAACATTTTTTCTAATTGCTTTCCTTGACGTATCTTTTTGTCACACGTTCTATTTGATTTGACGATATATGGAATCATTTATTGCTGGTACATGTGTATCTTTAGCAGGACTGACAACTATCTTACCTACCTTATAGTAATTCTTGGGTTTTATCACCGAAAAACCCAAGTGTCATTTTAATTTTTTTCCAAATATGACTCTTTACCTATAGGCTATAGGTATGGCTGCCATAACTAAAACAACCATGATATGTGAATCGCGCATTTAAAACGAAAGTGAAGTGAATATTTTCCATCTAGGTCGTACATTGTAACCAATCAGGTAAAGCTGCGGTTAACTTGGTCTGATACAACATTTTAAACTACTTTATGGAGGCTGGGGGGTCGACAATTTAACCACAAATCAACCACCAGATTTAACATATTTTTTAGATACGGTATCTTTAGCTGTCAACAATTATTTGGCAAAGAAAAAAATCATACATTTTAGTTTTTAAAATTGATCATTTTTGTATATCTTTATTCTTTTAAGGGAGATAGAAATAGTCTATAAATGGCTGCCACCCCCAGCCTCTCTAAGGCTTTTAACGCATGATTTTTGTAAGCATAATTCTTGAATAATAACAAAAATATCTTTTACTTCCTATCCATCTCCCAATCCATTAAGAATAAGCTGAACCTAACTAAACTTTTTGTAAATATTTCGTACATGCAAGTAAAATGCATTTTTTAAATTAAAATGCAACAATATATTGGTTTATAATGATCAACCATTTCTACCAAAAAGAGAAAGTGGGTCATTGTAAGAACAGATTGGTGTGAAATTTAAGTCTGCTTTTAGAGAGAACCCCTTATTGTCAGAAAATTTTCACATGCTTTATTTCAATACATATGGAACACGTATTCCGTAAATACAATGGCTAATCAATAGACAATGAACATCTACGTGTGTAACATGTGTTCAATAGAAGCATATGTTCGAATAACTTAAACAGACATAGCAATTAAATATAAGTACATGAAAACATAATCACATGTAGAAAATTGTTGAAATACGTGAATTTTGGAATAAACTAAACACACTCTTCAAAGTGCATTTTATCTAATTTTAGCATAACTTTTTGAGCTAATTTCAGAGAATTGTGTGTCCGTCTATAAAATACATGGTGACGAATATTGTTTTATGAGATCTATAAAAATGATTGTGTCATTGTGTATCGTTGACATTTGATGAGTAGACATAAACGTTTCATTCATATGTAAAATGTCACCAAGGTGATTAATTTTGACAATGGAGGAGTTACTTTGAGTGTTATCTGCATAAATACTTCGTAATCATATAAAAATTCCTTGTCTAGTCATACACATTTGAAAAAAAAATGATGCAAATATTAAAAGAAATTCATTTTGTCAATGTTATGAACTTAAAAAAACAAATATTTTTTTTTGTTTGGATAATTTGGTATTTGAAAGATTTGTTGAACCTTTTTTTATTTTACATTTGAAGAAAATTTATGCTCATCATTTCCCCTTATGACAACAACAATTTACCCACTGCTAAGACCAATACTATCTACATGATTCTAAGACTTGTTGGGCGTACAACCGGATCCACCCTATATATGACACTAAAGCATTTACATCCACATCCTTAGCCAACTTGTCTCCTGTATTTAGAATCCTTGTTAACCTTTGGGTAAATTTGGTGAACCAGTAGCGTAAGTAACATACCCAAGAATACAATAGAAACACAGGGTTTTAGCCACCGATCGGACTCGAACCCTGTGTATCTGGTACATTGTACCAATGCCGCTTACGCTTACCACTTTGCTATCATCCTCAACGCAACTTAGTTTATCAATTGTCAAATATTTTTTTAAGAAGCTAAGATTCAGTTTCTTTTAAAATATAAACTGTACTCAGTATATCAAAGCACAAAGAGTCTGTTTTATCAGGCAAGTATTATGATTTTTTTTATTTACAGAAAAGTACGTATTATTCAAATTAAAATACCTATAAGAAGATGAGTAAGACTTGGTCATTACGAGTTTTAATATGAATACGTTCTTCAAAGTCATATATGGCGTATTGTTGATAAGTTCAGACTAACTAAAATTAAAAAGATCTTTCTCTTTCTTTTGATTCTTAATATAAAGATAGGACTTTCCTGTAAATTACACAATTTAAATCGATCGCTTTTCTTCGATATCGGAGATTTAAAACAATAACCGATTTATTTCCGAATCGGAATTAAATACAAGACACAGTTTAAAG